GCCAACGCAAGCTCAGCTCTGCCACCTGTGACCGTGCCAGCCTGCCATTCTTCCTAGTCTGCCCCACCTCCATCTCAGCAGAGTCCCCTGACCCAGTGGGAATAGTTGATCCCCAGCTCCGAGCCTCTCCTTCCCTGCTGACTGAGCTCAGAGCTCCCACTGTGACGGTGGGTCAGGGCCAGCCCTGGGGATCCAGGGAGAGCAATTCCCCAGCAGTCAAATGGCCTGTGAGCTCACTAAATGCAAGCAGACAGAGACCCAGTGGGAGGAGCTGACGAGTGAAATGATCCTGCAAGCAGAGACCCATCCCTTTGTCTGGCCTGGATGAACTGCACAGGTTTGGCAAGTACGGAGCTAAGGTGCTCTCAGCAGCTCAGCCCTCTACCAGCAACACCATCCCGCACAGGCGCCTGTCTTCTGCCTGGAGGCCCAATGCCTTATCCAAAACCCTGTCTGGGAAGAACAGAAAAAGTCAGTGCATCCTCGGGGACAAGCTGCCCAGGCCCAGCCAGTCTACCTGCTCCAAACTGGCTCAGCTCCACAGCTGATGTGTGACCTGGGTGATTTCTGTTTCTGTGATCCACATGTGGTGCTCCAGGAAATTATATCTCTAACTATATTTACCAGATTTGGGGGGGCGGGGGCGTGAGGACAAAGTTACATATTTATATAAATCGAACTTATTCAAGTTAGGACATTTAACTCTCCTTATGTTCCACCTATAAAAATAACATGTGCTCATGATTAGAAAAAAATCCACAGCATACCGAAGAGAATAAAGTGAAAAGTTCCCTTCCCCAATAAGCCCCCAGAGAACATGCCCCCACCCCCAAGCAACCATTGTTAGCATACTTGTATTTATCCTTCTAGAAGTCTTCTACATATGTATAAACATGGATTTGTATAACCTCATTTGACATGTATGAACAGGACATTATAACACATACTTTACTATTTATGTTGTATTGGTGAGTTTTCTCACATGGCTACATGACTAAATCCTTTCAAAAGAATTTAGAGAATCCATGACTTAAAAGCATGCAATAACCCAAAAACCTATTTTATAAATAAGCTTTCTGGAACTCACAACACCTTTTCAGAGAAATAATGTTCTAAATCAGGGTCCATAAACGTCTTCTGTAAAGGGCCAGATGGTAAAATCTTCAGCTTTGCATGCCACATTCTGTCACTGGTTCAGCTTTGGGGACTGTTTGCTTTTGTTTACAATCTTTTAAAAATATAAAGACCAATCTTAGCTCCTAGGTGACACAAAAACAGGCTGTGGGCCAAACTTGGCCTTCAGACTATAGTCTGCTGAGCCCTGTTCTAAATAGCGGTTAGGTTCCCAGCTTAGTGCCCAGAAGCAAAATCCACCCAAAATGTTGCTAAGATACCAAATGAGTCAACATATTTTAAATGGCTTTGTAAACTATAACGTCTATACCACTGTGAAGAATTATTAGACTTCTTCAGTGTTTAGCATGTGGTGATTTTTAAAAACAAAATTAGTTAACACTGAATAAAAAAGTTTTAGACATCTTGAACTGCATGAAGAATTAGTGAAGAATCTGAATAGACTTCTCAAGTTATCTACAAGGTAGAAAAAGTAGGAAACCCTGCATTACATCCAACCCTACCGTTTTTGTCAGCACAACATAAACATACATTGACTCAAAGTTGATTGGTCTGTGTGGCTTGAGTTCGTAGGCCAAGTAGCACCCTCCATCAGAAAACAGAGAGGGTACTGCTGAGTTTTTGCCCCCCACCCCCTGCCATCACTGTGGGTACTGGAAAGGCTTTTCTTGTGCTTGTCACTCACAGTCACATGCACTGACCTAAACCTTGAGCCCTCTGTGAGTCCCACTTCCTGGAACCCACAGAGGCAGAGAGGGGGCACAGAGCAGATCAGAGAGGATGCTGGAGAGTCGTTTGGTGGCTACCCAGATGAGGAACCTTATTTTTAGCAATGACCAAAAACCCCTATTATATTTCATTGAGCTTTTTTAATCCTTACAACTTGCCTCTTCTCTGTCACAGAGGTAGAACTTACCTTAATAATTTCACATCATGATTAATTCTATTTTCTTATAAAAGAAATGTAAAAAAAAAAAGCTAAATAAATAAAAGAAATGCAGACTTACCCTGAAATATCTGGGCTGGAATCAGGAAAGAAGGTGAGAGGGAAAGGGTACTAAAGAGGATCGTGCGTGAGAAAGGGACTGAGCTGGGGACTGTGCGCATGGGCAGTGAAGGCAGTTCCTGGTACATGTGCAACCTCAGGAGGGAAAGCTGGGGGGGGGGGCAGGTGGCAAAATGTCAACTGGGTCCTTAAGGTGGGGCACTTTGTGACAGCTCCCTTAGTAAAACGTCCTATAACTTGCTAAAAGAAGTTCTTTTTAAAAAAAAAATTCTGTAATGATAATAAAACAAGACCTTCCATACATTGGATTTTAGGGACCCCTTGATTCTCCTGAGTCTGCTTGTCCAGCCAGGTAAGCCAGAGCAGAGTGACAGAGAAAGGGTGTTGATGATGACAGGCACAATAAAAAAATGACCTAAGTTACAGACCATGGAAGAGTTTAGAAAATACTTTCCCAAGCAGTATCCTTGTAAAAACAACTCTGTAAGGTCACGGAGGTGGAGATGGGCTCAGTGACTCGCCCATGGGCACACAGCAAGCACAGGGCAGAGCAGAAAGAGTGCTTGAATTTTCTGAGGCCAGCCTCAGTGCTCTCCACGTCTCCCATGCTGCTTCCCAGGAGGTTCCAAGCAGATCTAGTAGGAATGGACATCTCTGCCCTTATTCCTCTCCCTGTTCTTCGTTTAGTGATTAGATTTCCATCAGCATCACTCTAAGTGAAGCATCCTGTGCTTCTGAAGCATATGGAGCTGCTTCAAATAAAGCAGCATGGTTGGCTGAGCGTCTGCACCTGCACTGGGGGAGGCAGGAGCGCCAAGCTAAGAAGGGAGCCAACTCTGGGACCAGGCAGGTGGGCTGAAATGCTCGATGCTTGGCTGACCAGCTCTGTGAGACTGAACATGTCGCTTAACCTCTGGTCAATGTAGGGAGAGCATGTAACCCAGTGCCCAGGATGTGCTAAAAGTTCAGTAACTGATGCACATTTCATTATTACTGAGTCCTCATCTGCCTCCTTTGGGACTGTATCGTAAAAAGAAAACTACCAACAAGAGCTTGACAAACACATGGCTCATGGGTTTAGCTAATGAGTCTACCTGGTTGTGCACAGCCTCCGCATGCTGGAATAATCCATCCCCCTCCTTAAGCCAGGATACAATTTTAAAATGTAATAAATGGCACTCATCCTTCTAATCTCTTCCTATATGTGACTGACAAGTATCAGCGTTTCTTGTGGAAGTGACTGTTCTGGAAAGCTGGGGCAGGTGGGCCGAAAGCCAGAATTACCTAAACAGCTTGAACTCCTGGTGTTTATCTCCAAGCTAGTGAAAATAATCAGCTATCAGGGTTCTCCAATCAGGCACCAAAAACCAAAGGCTAAACTCTAAGGTGGATGTCATTTGTGTCCCTTTCTTTTGAAAAAGTTTCCAAGATGAAAAGGAATAGTAGATTTACTTCAAATGATTTCTCTTGCTGAGGGATGAAAGTTCGTAACCCAGAGATACAAATTTACTCACAATACGACACTTGCCTAGAGACAAAAGCTCACATGGGGGGCTCAAGGATTGAGGGTGGGGTGAGGCTCAAGAACACGTTATATGAGAAACAGCTGAAGAAAACATGGGAGCCTGATCAGCTTTACCCTATGTGGCCTGGCCAGAGGGTGGAGTTATCAGAGAACAGATCTGATCTCATATAAAGGAAGAACACTTTAATAATGAGCTACACAGGGCAGGCATGAAGGGTCATCACCGAGGGGATTAAGCAGGGGGAGAGGGCCAAACACTGGGTATAATGAAAAGACTGGTGAGCTGGCAGAGAACTAAGCTGGATTATATTTAGGATTTTAGTTTTAAAATCCTGAGAATGTATATTAAAACCCCAAACAACAGAACAGTCCTCTTGCTAGAAGGCCAGTTGGTATGGTCCTAATAGTTATTTTTTCCATATTAAATATCAACATTTTGTGCTTCAAGACCTGACTCAGTCTCAAAGTAATTTTAAGAGAAAAGAATTCAAAATCAAAATAAAGGGTGGATTGTACCAATGTCAACTTCCTAGTTTTAACATCATACCATAGTTATGTAAGATGTTACCATGGGAAGAAGCTAGGTAAAGGGTACACGGGACCTTTGCCCTATTTTTTGCAACTTCCTATGAATCTGTAATTATCTAGAAATAAAAAGCTTTTAAAAGTCCAATTAAATATACCTCCCCAAGAGGTTCTAAGTAAACTCAAATAAAACCCAGTTTGTTTCAGGAGTGCAGTGTCATCAGCCACAAATGACTGTGCAAGTATCCACAGGCAGCAGGGCTCATTTCAAAACCATGATCAAGCAGCTATTAAGATCTACAGTTGCGATTAGGAAAGCCTACGTCATGTTGACAGGTGCCTAATTTGGTTACACTGATCATAAATCTTCAGTTATCTGGGATCACATCTTTAAAGTCACCTATAGGCAATACATTCTTACAACTGCTTCCCGTGTGGTGCTTACACAGGAATCATGTATGGACTTAATTACTCTATCTAACTGTAATACAACAATGTGTTTGTGTCTTCCTCCACAACTATGACCTGCAACAAGAATTGCATCCTGTTCATCTCATTCTATCATCAAAACCTAACTCACAATAGTTCTCAGTAAACAGTCATAGAATAAATAAAAAATAAACCAGTAATTAAGTTATTTTCTTGGACTTCTCAGAGTGACTTTCTTTTCTGATACAAAGGCATCCAAAGAAACCTTAGAGTCTCTAATTTTGGAATCAGGATTAAATATTACACATACACGTGTGTGCATGTGTGCATGCGTGTGTGTGTGGCAAAGTCTCTGAAACACAGGGGCTTAATCTCTAAAGATCTTTATAACTACTTGGTTTTGATTTGTTAGTTTCTTAAGATATGACAACCCAGTTTGATTTAGAATAAAACAGAGAGGTCAGACTTTTTCAGACAAAAAAACCAACATGAATTGTTCAACACATCCCCCCAGCTTCTGCCCAGTTTTATCAAGTGCCAAGAAGAACTGACTTCTTTCAGAAAACACTGATAAAGCATCACCTTTGGATTCTTCAATATTAACTGATCAAAAACGATCATGATATGGCGATTTCTCCAAATTCTGTATCTCTTAGTTTATTAAAATACATGTTTTTCAAGTAAATATTCTGAACAACCCAAATCAATCAAAGCGGTGAGATCACAAAGTGTTGCTTCTTTCTGCAAAGAAGGCACATCATTAGGTTGTACAGAAAATCCAACAGCCATACCGAAGTTAATTAGGCTGTCTTAAAGACTCGATGGAGGCTACTCACGATCCCAGAGGCACCAAGGACTCCGCAGGGTCACTCATCTGAACAGGCCCAGAAGCCGGCTTGATCCTTAAGACCTCTGCAAAGCCATCACCAAACCAGCACGTGACATGTGCTATGTCTACTGTAAAGTAGAAAAGACGATCCTGGCAGAGTTTCCGTCGATATACAGACCGAGGGTCGGCTGACAGCACAGCCTCGATGGCACACCTTGCTTCCTCCGCTGACCGAAAATACTTAAATGAAGCCTGACCAATACCTGCAATAAGAAGAACACAACTTGGGGATTCCCCTGGCGGTCCAGTGGCGACGACTCCATGCTTTCACTGCTGAGGGCGAGGGTTCAATCCCTGGTCGGTGAACTAAGATCCCACAAGTTGTGTGGGACGCACCCCACTCCCCACACACAAAAAAACTGACCTTCCTCTTCCCATGAACTGTACACAGTGATTAAACAACTTTCATAAACAAAACTTTAAAAATAAAGAGATTGATTTAAAAATCAAATGTTCTGTTTAAACATAAAGCCTTAGGAAAGAATGAATAGAACAACCATCCAGGGGCAGGTGAAATCTGACATCTCCTTGGCAACTAACTGGCTACTTCTTACAGGAATCACCACACCCACTTTTTAATGGGCCTCTCCTTCACTCTGGACAGCTACTTGGAATCTGCGTGTGGGCTGGAAAAACCAGATAACAATGTTTGTTAACAACCATGTATTAGAGTAAACAGGCTCCAAGTTAAAAGCCCTGTGGCCTCTCTCTTCTGCAGTGAAGTGCAAGCCTCTAGTGCTGGGACTTTATGGGGACAATTTCTGTGCTAAGACACTCTTTCCTTCTCACTCCTGGGCTCTGTGACAGAGGTCGAGCTATCCATCACCCAGTAGGTAAAACAAGATGAGACACTTCTCTACTCAGATAGTGAAACAGATGAAAAAACTCGATCTACATAGGTACAGAGGAAGCACAATTTAGCTTCTGAATGCTGTTTGAGAACTCCCAAGAGCTACTGCCACATGCAAACAAGAGGCCCAATTCCTGGGCAGCAGCCGTTCTCAGTGAATACTTGACTGAGTGCCTGGCACTCACTGTGCTGAACAAACAGCTGTTGATTGAAAGCCATCAGATGATGATGTTGCCCAAGTATGATTTTATACTTCTACGTTTCTTTACAAGTCATAATCACAAATACTCTATATAAAACTGCCCTCAGGGCTTGCCTGTGGCGCAGTGGTTGAGAGTCAGCCTGCCGATGCAGGGGACACGGGTTCGTGCCCCGGTACGGGAAGATCCCACATGCCGCGGAGCGGCTGGGCCCGTGAGCCATGGCCACTGAGCCTGCGCGTCCGGAGCCTGTGCTCCGCAACGGGAGAGGCCTCAACAGTGAGAGACCTGAGTACCGAAAAAAAAACAAAAAAAAAACTGCCCTCAGAAATAGCAAGTTTGCCTAAACCTCCAAGTAAAAGCTCATCTCTCATTCAGAAACAAGAAATGGAAAGTACCTGGTTCACCTGAGCTGAGGTGCTCAAGGTCCATCTCCGCGTGAGGAGTAAACCGGACTCCCAAGGTGGCCACAGGAGCCTCTCTCACCCAGGTGGGGACCGCACTGCGGTGGGCTGCACCAGCCGCCCTGGAAGGGCAGGGAGGAGCCTCGGGCGGCATCTCCATGCTGTGTCCTTGTGCGACCGCCACTGCTTCCCCTCTCCCCAGCCTGCTGTCTGCTTGTTCCTCTGGAAAGCTCTTCTCCAGGCAACATGGGCCACTTTGCTCTTCTGCTGTCCTAGGACTCGGACCACTTCCTGATTCTTCACCCAAATCTGCTGCTCTCTCCCTGGGCTCAGGTGAGCTTTGCTGGATTTTTGCTGAGTTGTCGTGTTTTGCGTTGTTTTCTCCCGAAGTTCTATCTTCGGGACATTTAGGTTTCTCCTTAGTACAACTGTAGAGCTCCGGTTCCTCGTACCCTGAGAGCTGTTGCTGGTCACAGCTATCAGTCTTGCCGTCACACTGGGACACGGTTTTTGGTTTATATTGGTTATTCTGTAAATTAAAGTCCCCTAAAGGCTCAATCAAATTTTGTGGCGAGTCATAATCAGCTATGTAGGGCTTTATGTCTAGTACAGGTGTGCCATGAATCATGTCAATTCCAGAAAGGTATATGGCTCCACCTATAATGTGAAAAACATCCTCTTAGAAATATTAACAATGAAGAACAGTGCAAACAACTGGAGAATCAACAATGTCTGCTTAAATCCCACCAAGCCTACTCACAATTCTCTTACGCACCAGACCCTCTTATACCTGGTGCCAACATACAGTTTTCTTTCTACCTAGAAACCCATTCTCTTCTTTATCTGTCAAACTCCTACTTGCTCTTCAAGGCTCTCACGAAACACCTCCTTTACAGAGCCTTTCTGGCTCTTCCAGACATAAGCATTCTTTCCTCTGAGTTCCGCAGAGGTACCTGTGCCCGAACCTCTCCTGGAGCCCTTGTCACATGGTCTAGCAATGACCTGCTTAGAGTCTCTCCCTCTAGACAGTAAGTAGGTCCTCGAGCACTAGGTGGGGCCATCTCACCTTTGCATCACTGGGGGCTTCTAACTCTGTTCCAGACACATCAGAATCCTCAATATATCTCTGTGGGACTGATGATGGTTTCCAATGTGTCAAACAGAGTCTAAGGTGGCCCCATGATGTCACCTCCTGGTATATAATCCCCTCTTCTTGAGTATGACTTGATATCACTTCAGTGACTACGTTATGTTATCTAAGACTCCTGTGTTTGCTGGCAGATTCACTTGAGAGACTCTCCCCATGGGCTTGAAGAAGCAAGCAGCCTTGCTGGGAAAGCCTGTGTGGCAAGGCACTGCGAGAGGTCTCTAGGCGCTGGGGGCCACCTCTAGGAGCTGGGAGCAGCCACCAGCCAACAACCAGCAAGAGGCCAGGACCCTCAGAACCACAACTGCAAGGAAGTGAATTCTGCCTATGACCAGAGTGGGCTTGGAAATGGATTCTTCTACAGTCAAACCTCCAGAAAAGAACTCACTCCACTTCACTGCAGCTTGGAGAGACTCTTAAGTTAGGACCCAGCTAAGCTGTGCCCATACTCCTAACCTATAGGAACATTGTAATGTTTTAAACACATGATAAATGTGTGCTGTTTAAACTGATAGTGCATGGTAATTTGTTACACAGCAACAGGAATCTAATACTTCACTGAATAATTAAACAGGGCACTTCCCTGTGGCACAGTGGTTAAGAACCCACCTGCCAATGCAGGGGACACGGGTTTGATCCCTGGTCCAGGAAGATCTCACATGCTGCTGAGCAACTAAGTCTGTGTGCCACAACTACTGAGCCTACACTCTAGAACCCATGAGCCATAACTACTGAGCCCATGCTCCACAACTACTGAAGCCCACGTGCCCTAGAGCCCATATGCCACAACTATTGAGCCCACACGCCACAACTACTGAAGCCCACACACTCTAGAGCCCACGTGCTGCAACTACTGAAGCCCGCGTGCCTAGAGCCCATGCTCCACAACACGAGAGGCAATGAGAAACCCCGCTAACCACAACTACAGAAAGCCCGCGCACAGCAACAAAGACCCAATGCAGCCAAAATAAAATAAACAGAACATAAGTCACCATTACCAAATATTAAGGAAAGCTTAATTGTTGTCCCACTTATACAGCTGCTGTTCAGTTCCTTCTACTGGGGCAAAGTCTACTAACTTGATCCTTGGAAAACTGACCCAGTGAGAATCAAAAACTGCATGTGATCACATTTGATCCTATCTCCATTTGAGAAAAACATGACTAACAAAGGACTCTGATTTCTAAAACATGCTTATTGTAAATGAACCTGGAACTTTGGAAAGAAGATTTTGGACTTTCTAATGATAGATTATGCCTAATAATGTCTGTAAAAGAAGGAAAAGCACTGGGGCACAGGTGAGAGTTCGTGGGATTTGAAGTCAGACAACCCCCTGGCTGGATGCTATTGGGTAAATTATCAAACATCAAAGAACCTCAGTGCCCTCATCCATAACATGGAGACTGCTACCTTATCAAGCCCAGGAGCCACTGTGAGATACCATACATGAACACTCTTTATAAACTGCAAAGCACCACACAAACACTAGTCATCCTCATAACACTTATTTATAAGAGTGTCTACAGCGCTACTGTGTTTGCCTTTCACCTTTCTGATTTGATCTTCCCCATTAGAATGCTAAGATCCTCTGTAGGGCTGGGATTTTTATCTAATCTGCTTGCCACTATATCCCCAGCACCTAGAACAATGGTTAGCACATATTCAGTGCTCAGAAAATATGTGTGGGTTGCACGAACGATCATAAAACGTTCCAGTACTGTTACCCAAGTTGTGTGTTACCCAGCACACCCAAATGTGCTGATCAGGTCCAAGGGATTCAAGAATGGGAGGCTTTCAGAAATGAACGGCTCAGTAACGTGTTTATATATGAACACGTAGTTAAATCTAATCTGGTATTCTACACAGGTTCTCCCACAATCTGACAAATGTTCAACCTATGGTGCATTCATCCCAGACCCTCTGCCTCACATCACAGTGGACAGTGGCACTGCAGCCACAATGCACATTCATTTCCTCAGGGCTGCAAGGAAGAAATGATCCACCACACTGCAGTCAGATGTGCTGACCATATATGCATGTGCAACCAGTTACTGTGCGTTAAATTTTGAGAGTGTCCAGTTATTTTTATTTTATTTATTTTTTTTATTGATTAATTTTAAATTATTCTTATTTTTTTAAACCCCACATTTGTTTATTTATTTATTTATTTGGCTGTGTTGGGTCTTCGTTTCTGTGCAAGGGCTTTCTCTAGTTGTGGCAAGCGGGGGCCACTCTTCATCGCCGTGCGCGGGCCTCTCACTATCGCGGCCTCTCTTGTTGCGGAGCACAGGCTTCAGATGCGCAGGCTCAGTAGTTGTGGCTCAGGGGCCCAGTTGCTCCGCGGCATGTGGGATCTTCCCAGACCAGGGCTCGAACCCACGTCCCCTGCATTAGCAGGCAGATTCTCAACCACTGCGCCACCAGGGAAGCCCAAGAGTGTCCAGTTATTTTTAGATCATTTTATATTTACTGCATTCCAAGTCAGAAAAAGTTTGGTTACTAACTTACTGATTATAAAATCTTAAGAGTTACTTTTAAATAATTTAATAACTTCTGATAAATATAATGACATAAACTAACTCTGAGCATCCTATGAGAGCTTATTCCAAAGTGTTTCAATGCTGACATTCTTTTAATCGTTTCATTTTCTTCAATGTCTGGTGGTTCACAGGGGCTAACACCATTGGTACTTGTCTCAATAACAGCCAGTGCTGAATACTATGTTGATTTTATAAGACTTCTTTTGGTTAAGGAAAAAGTGGTAAAAGTACAAACCTTCTACCTTTTCCAGTTTGGCTAGGGTCAGTCCTATCGCATTGGGACGATGTGGGCTCCTTGTAGAGAAAACGCCAGTCTTCACACCATTCAGCCTAGGAGGCTGCACTTTTGCCTTACAGCTCAAATGGCCATTTTTGTGAAAAACAAACAAAATCCTATTGAAAATAAACCAAACCACTGAGTAAGAAAAGAACACAGTCAATCTATCATAATGATTTGAGGGAGAAAAAAAACCTTAATCCCCACAAATTAAAACATAAAGAATGCTTCTAATGGTACTAAAATGTAATCAGTGGGGGAAAAAAGAGTAATATCATTCCCGTTTTTTGAAAGAAGACAGTCTTATCTCTATATCCACTGCCCGTAACACAATGACTGGCACATGCTAGGACCTTAACAGGCTTTTGTCAAGTACCTGAATAAACAATACTTCATGGGTCTAGAGCAGGGTCCACAAACTTTTTCTGTAAAGGACCAGGTGGTAAATATTTTAGGGTTTGCAGGTCAACGAGTCTCTGCTATAAATAATTCAACTCTGCTGTTGTAACACAAAAGTAGCCACAGCCAACACATAAATGAATGCACGTGGTTATGTTCCCATAAACTTACTTACAAACACAGAAGATGCAATGGGTTTGGTCCACAGGCCATAGCTTGCTGACCCATGGTCTAGAGGACAGAATAATGACCCATGGACAGAATCGAGAAGGTCTACAGATTTCAGCTCAACAGAAGTCATTCAACAAAACTGGAACCAACTGCAGATGGAATGTGCCCCTCAGTGGATCCCAAGCTTCCCCGAGGGTGTCCAAGTTATGAAGAAAATCACATGCATGAATATAGTACAAAAATCCCATGCAATAGACAAGAGTGGTCTGGATGGCAGTCTCCAGGGTTGCCTCCAACTGGAGTACTTTACTCAAGGGCAAGTTATGGTCCAAAGTACCATTTCTAACTATAAAACAACTTACCAAACATGAGAAAACTGTTCTAAGCCCATCAAGGAATGTTCAGGATTATTAAAGATACTTTTTCTAATCCTCAAACAAGCCCGTGAATGGCTACAAATGGATGGCTGCCTTGGAGTACCATTCTTGGCTGAGAAACAGGATTCCAAGTAACCAATTGGCTCAGTTAAAAGATTCCCTACAGAAGAAAATTAGATAAGAAATCATTAATGAAAAGGTCAAGCAAAGATGTAGGAAGACATGTTTTCTTTAATGCATCGATTTCATAGTTTTAAAATCTATTAGGTGTTATGCAACTATAAAATAAGATTCTTATAGCATTCAAAAATACATATAAATATCCTTATCATTACATATATCACTGTTATCAATACATCCCTTTAGATAATAAACTGGAAAGAGTATTGGTCTAAGAAAGAAAGAATGAAAGGAAAAATTCATTTTTAGAAGACCTACTATGACTATAATTCAAATTCTATGCAACCATTACTATGTTATGTGACCTTGGTTAGGGCTAAGAGGGTATTTCAAACAGAGGGAATAAGCTGCACAAAGTTAAATGGGAAATTTTATAGCATAAGCAGGGAACAAGCCATTTTGATTGGCTGGAGTGTGAAAATACAAGGCAAAGAATAATGAAAGATAAGGAGACAGAGACTGTATATAGGTAAAAATGCTTTCAATTGAAAACAACAGAACACACGAAAAAAACTAGTTTAATTAAGCAATAAAGGGAGTGTATGGGATCACAGTACTAAAATATCTAGAGGCAGTATAGATTTCAGGTTAGGCTTGCTCCAGCAGCTCTCTGCCCCACTAGAATGTAAACTCCATGTGGGCAGGAGTTTTTCTGTCTTACTGACTGCTACGTTCTCATTGTCTAGTACTTGCCTACAAGAGGATAGGTACTTTAAAAATTCATGCTACATGGAGAAAAGGATTATGTAAGTCTAAACTGATTAAAATGGAAAGTGAAAAAGTGAAAGAATATGTGTAACATAATCCTATTTATGAAAATTTAATGTATTTACCTAACTAAACATGCACATATGTATGTTGAGAAAGCTATCTAGAAGGATATTCACCAAAATTTTAACATTGGTTAAAACTGGTGGAGACTTTAAATTTTGTTCTTTTCTGTTTAGGCTGGTTGTAATCCCTCTGATATTGGTATCATTGCACCATACAGGCAACAGTAAAAAGTCATCAATAATTTATTGGCACATTCTTCTATTGGGATGGTCGAAGTTAATTCAGTAGACAAATATCAAGGAAGAGACAAAAGTATCATTCTAGTATCTTTTGTTAGAAGTAATAAAGATGGAACTGTGAGTTAAAAAAAAAAAAACTGGTGGAGGGATTGTTGGATTATTTTTATATTTAACTCTGTAATTTCTATAATATTTGAAAATTTTACAATACTCACAAATCATTTTTAAAATGTTTTAAACCAGTAACTCAAAAGAAGAAAAAACTGGCCAGGCAACATCAATATAGGTTTAAAGTAGAAGGCATCTGCAACTAGCATTTTGAATTTATAGATAACTTTTTTTTCACATTTCATGAAGGCTGTATTAGCTTCTTTTAAGAGATGATATAAAGACATTCTAGAACCTCATTTTATTTCCAGTTTCCATTAAATCTATCCTATCAGCACAGGTGGGCAGTGAGACTATAGGCCTGTCCTTCATAGCCTTTCGTGACTTTTCACTTATAAAAACTAAATTACGTGATACATATAAAATATTACATGCAACATATATATAATAAAGCATAATGTTAAAATGAAATCCTGTGTACCACCACCCAGCCCAAAAACTAGTGCTTTACCAACAACTTGCCTCTTTTTATGTTGCCTCTCTCCCTACCTTTCCCCTGAATGTGCCTGAACAAGAGCCTGAATGTGGTCTTTATCATTCATTTCTTTTCTTAAATATGATTTTATCACATGCATATGCATGCTTAAATAACGTTTCATTTATTTTGTCTTTGAGTTCTATAAAAACTGGTATTTTCTCAGACTTGCTTTCTCTCTCTCAATATTATGATTCTAAGATCCATCAACACTGCGTACGTTTTTGATGACTTTAAATTTTTTTCCAACTACATTTACAGGCACTCTTTTTTTTAAACCTTCACCTATGCTCTGTGGAATTGATACAGTAAACATCTTAAAGATGAAGGAACTGAAGTCAAACGATTCTCTGGTGTTCATAAAAATATCATGAAGAAAAATGGCCAAAAAGTGCTCCTACCCTAGTCAGTTATGTTCTGTTTTATTTAACAAACACTTTCCAAGTGTCTACAATTGCCAGACATTGTGCTAAGTTTGGGGGAAAAAATACAAAACAAGAACTCTTATCACAGTGGAGTTAACAGTTGATTGAGAGAAACTCACAATATGCTTCAATATCATGGGAAATGTCTTATCTGTAGTAATGATCAAAGACTTTTGTGTCTGACTATCTGCTTGGGGGTCTACAAGTTTATAACTAACTTGAGCTATCACTTCATTGAATCAGTCTATACCTGTTTTTCACAGGCTATACATATGCTATGATAAATATAAGTTGTAACCAATTAGATTTATTCCAACCCTGTTTGTTCACCTCTATAAGAACATAAGCAAGATAATACTGGGTAAGCAATGAACTGAACGAGCTACATTGGAAGGAGTCCCTCAGCTACGTCACTCTCAAATGTTTGGGACCACTCTCAACATATCAACTATCCATCTAATAAACGTCGGAACTTAACCATATTCTAATATGTCTGGAACTTATTTATTCTCTGTGCCCCGGTTCTTGGGATATTAAATGCTATGAAATGTAAATGCTCAATAATTTCCAAATATAAATTCTGCTTGAATGCTCTCCTTGAAGTGGAGGCCTGAGAACGTCCACCCAAGGGAATTCTGATCTTCTTCCTCTTGCCTCATATCTCAAAAAACAAACAAAAAGAAAACATTAAGCACCTACCATTTGATAAGCACTGTGCTGAGTGCCTGGCAACAGGCATAAACAAGAACCAGTTCTCACCATCAAGGTGTGCAGTACATTGACAGAGTGGACAAGTACATCAACAATTAAATCAAACTGCCTTACATACATGCAGAATAGGGAGAGCACAGGTATGCCAGAGTAGTACTGGCATGAGAACCACATGGAAAGAGGGAGAAGTTTCCCTGGGGCCTATGGCTGGTATGAAAAGAGAAAAATGACAAAAACAACACAGGGCCGTAACACTAGCTGTGTGATCTTGGGCAAAACTGCTTACCTCTCTAAATCCAGTTTTCTCAGCTATAAAACAAGGATAATCATCCTATCTTGGAAAGATGACTAAAATATGTAAAGTACCTAGTACAGCAGAAGGTGCTCAGCAAGGAGAGATTTTTAAAGCCCTTACACAGGCTTTTCCCTCAATTTAACAATATTACAACTGTACTAACCATATAATTTTAAAAACCCAACAAATTATTAACGCAGAGGCTTTCTGTACACAAGTCTTATCAACAAGTCTTGTGCAGACAGAAATGTCCAGGTCCTTTTCACCTCTTGCCCGGACTATTAAATTACCCTTGTTATAATTTGTCTTCCCTCTGCCAGTCCCTCCCCTCCTCAAAACACACTACACCAGTCCTCCAGATTCTGAGTTCCTTATGTCTCGCTACTCTCTAAACTTTTTGTGTCCCACTATTAACAGATGTCATATTTCTTTTTTTTAATTTTTATTATTTATTTATTTATTTATTTTTGGCTGGGTTGGGTCTTCGTTGCTGCGCACAGGCTTTTCTCTAGCTGCGGCGAGTGGGGGCTACTCTTCCTTGTGTTTGTTTATTTATTTATTTATTATTTGGCTGTGCTGGGTCTTAGTTGTGGCATGTGGGATCTTTGTTGCCACATGCGGGATCTTTGTTGCCACGTGCGGGATCTTAGTCGCGGCATGCATGTGGGATCTAGTTCCCTGGCCAGGGACCGAACCCTGGCCCCCTGCACTGGGACCACAGAGTCTTAACCAATGGGCCACCAGGGAAGTCCCCCAACCAACACTTCTGACTTACAGCTCCCGGACCCTATGCTCTGTAGACCTCTGAGCCCTGCTCTTTCCTGCCTGTCAAAACATCAGAACTGGGGCTTCCCTGGTGGCTCAGTGATTAAGAATCTGCCTGCCAATGCAGGGGCATGGGCTCCAGCCCTGGTCCGGGAAGATCCCACATGCCGCAGAGCAACTAAGCCCATGTGCCACAAATACTGAGCCTGCATGACACAACTACTGAAGCCCATGTGCCTAGAGCCTGTGCTCTGCAACAAGAGAAGCCATCACAATGAGAAGTCCACGCACCGCAACAAAGAGTAGCCCACTCGCCACAACTAGAGAAAGCCCACGTGCAACAATGAAGACCCAAAGCAGCCCAAAATATAAATAATTAATTTTAAAAAAAACTATCAGACCTATAATCTGGCAGTATGCAACATTTTTTTTTTAACAGGCACAACCGTTGACCACATAACAATACCTTTTAGAAATTCAAGTTAAACATTTAGAACATACACAAAGATTTTAGTTTCAAAACTTTCATTTAGAACAATGAAAACCAGCAATAACCTAAATGCCCAACAATAGGGAACTGGTTAAATAAGAGCACATCTATAAAACAAAATAGTGTGCAACTTCTCAAAATTAACATTATTAATTGCCATGGAAAGATTTTCATGAACCTTAAGTTTTGTTTTGTTTTTAATAAATGTAGAGCTGGGATTCAAATCAAAGTTTTGTTTTATTTTTTTTAATTTATTTAGTTAATTTTGGCTGCTTTGGGTCTTCGCTGCTGTGAGCGGGGGCAACTCTTCATTGCGGCGCACAGGCTTCTCACTGCGGTGGCTTCTCTTGCTGCGGAGCATGGGCTCTAGGCGCGAGGGCTTCAGTCGTTGTGGTTCGCAGGCTCTAGAGTGCAGGCTCAGTAGTTGTGGTGCACGGGCTTAGTTGCTCTGCAACATGTAGGAATCTTCCAGGACCAGGGCTTGAGCCCGTGTCCCCTGCACTGGCAGGTGGATTCTTAACTACTGCGCCACCAGGGAAGTCCTCAAGTTTTTTTTGAAGTTATGAAACAATGGTGTCGCATATCACCTCATGTTTCTAGTATGTAGGCACTGAAACTATTATGGAAAGTAGACACCAAGAGATTAACAGTGGTTTTCTCTGGGTAATGGCCGACTACTTTCATCTTTTTTTCCATTTGCTTCCTCGGATTTCTAAAGTTAATATATTCTGCCCTAAAAATAGGGGTGAAAATAAAGAGAAACAAACTCAGGCCATCTTTCAATGCCCAGTTTAAAACTATTTCCTACACTTCCTGCAGCACAGGTTGCTTCTCTCTTGTGGCATTAATCCCGAATCGGCAGAACACCTGCTGTATATATCCTGTCTCTCATTTATGGGTGAGAACTCCCCAAGACAAAGGCCGCTACACTGCACGTGACTGTTCTGCCAAGACCAGGCCACCTTAGCTACCAAGAACAGAACAGGAGAGATGATGTCATCCCGCTCGCCTAAGACACATCACGTGGTCTCCTAAGCACATGACCCGTGCCTTCCAATAATCAGGAAAAACGACCCACGTCCATTCTAGGTCTCACATTTGCCGTCCCTCACTGCAGTGAAGTCGGCTCCCTGCACTTAGGGCTCTTCGGAGTGCGGAACCTTCAGCCTCTTAGAAGTTACCTGTCTCCAGAGCCGGCTTCACGCACCCGCAAGAGGTCGCTGTGGGTCGAGGGCCGGGCTCCTCCAAGTCGCGCATGGCTAGTGGTCTCACAGGTGCCCACCCAACGCGTTCAAGCCTTCTGCTTCCGGTCTCCAGGCATGGCGCCTGCGCAGTGCGGGAGAAGTGCGGCGCGCCGCGGGCGCCGGAGGCCACCGCTAGGTGGCGATTAGGGCCTGGATCCCTCCGTCCGCTTCTGAACGTGTGTCTGCTGTATCGCGCGGACCCCTTGCAGTTGCCCGCCTATTCAGGGCAGTCAGAAGCTCCAAGTTACCACCCTTTCCAAGGGGGGCACGTCGATGAAGATTTATGCATAAAGATGTCTCTCTCGAAATAATAAGCAACCTACATATCCAGTGCATGACGCTAATTTTTAAATAAAAAGAATATGTATATACAATTAGCACATAGCAAGATGATCGGATGTTATTAAACGTTAATTCTTCTTGAATGGTGGGAATACACAGATGGTCATTTATACTTCTCTGTATGCTCCCATTTTTCCACAAGAAAAACGTTGTTTTGTCAGAAAGGAACCCCAAGTAAACCTTATTTCAAATCTAATGGATGGGTAGCCCCACACCAAATTAACGGGCAAGAAGTGGGGACTGTTCCTGTGCTCCATACCTCACGAGAAATGAAGCGAGAATGAAACTGAGTCAACATGCCATACACATTGAGGGGATTGTAATCGTTGTTTCTGGGCAGCTCTAAAAAGTTGAGGGCCAACAAGAGTCAGTTTTCATCCCATGCGATGACCAGTTATCCCTGCACCGCTAGCCTTGCCTTTTATCCACTTACTTGTAATGTCATCTCTCACCTGTGTATTTATCAAGTTCCTCTGTACATATAATTCTACTTCTGAGCATTTTATCCTGTTACTTCATGGGGAGAGGGGGGACATACTGCCTGCAAAATAAATTATTCAAAACCGTAAAACACAGATTGAAACGATTCAACAACCATGGAAAGCTGTTCCTAAACCTGTTCATTTGTCATGAACTAACAGACCACTAGCAGAAAGTAACCATCAGAAGGAGCCAAAGATTTAAAGAGAAGATTATGGGTTTTTGTTTTTTGTTTTGACATTTTGCAAAACTCAGCAAACATTTTAATTTATACATGAGAAAAGGAAGTGTTCAAAAGGGTATGCATTTCAAGTTATTGCAGGTTATTTGTGAGAGAATTTCTGTAGGTAAAACATGTTTAAATTTAACCAACAGTAACGTGTCAGTGTATTTAAAATCATGACAAAAATAGAGAAGATTGTAGGTTTTAAAACAAAAACTTTAAAAATTGACAAAATGCATACACCTAGGTGTTCTCTGATAGTTTTTTTTCCACGTGAAAATTTGGAAAAGAATACCATTATTCTTTTTCGAGGAGGGAACAATTCTGGGCAGCTGATGAAACAAGAACAAGTTTGAGAACCACTGAATACACGTTGTAAAACTGAGGCCGTAATAGCTGCAAATTGCCACTAGATGGGGGTGTTGCTAAAAGTGATAGTCTCGCTTAATTTGTAGAAAGACTCGTGTAGAAAATGAGGTATTTTCCCTCCTGGCTTTAGATAACATATATAATGATAATCACACCAAAAATACATTACCAAGTGTGACAAGTTCTGAAATGCAAAGCAGAATTGGAGACACTGATGAAGTAGATTGCTACTTCATTTAAAGGAAAAATTTCTCTTTATGGAAAACAGGAACTTAAATATGTAGCCCTTTCATTATATGATTTGAAATTTCTATTATCCTGTCTAGTGGATATATGATTATATAAATAACCATTATATACGATTATTTTTAGTTTATGAGACAACCCTTTCTCTGGAGCTAGGACCTAGGAATCTGCCTTAAAAAAAGCCCCGAATGATTCAAGGCAGGTGGTTATCTGTCTACACTTTGAGAAACACTTCTCAGTGTAATGATTCTTAATCTTTCATTTGAGTGAAGGATCCCTTTGAATATCAATTAAAGCTTTGGATCGTCTCACACATCATATTAGATTTAATATCATAAGATTCATGGATTTTAAAGAACAACCATTCTACCCACGAGTGGAGGGTAGCACAAAGTAGGGCTAGATGGATTCTTGCAAAACTTTAATTCTGTGACATCAAGGCTCTAAGCCAAGAAGAAAAGTGGAACATTTTTAGATACACACTGGTGTTTGAATGAGAATAGTGAGAAAGCAGAGTTTGTATGTCTATATAGGGAGTTGGATAAGAAGGCAAGCAGAAAGGGTCCTAAAAGGTAGAAAGAGAAGACCCCTCTTCCTCTAATGTACTATATTTCTTCATATCATCTACTTCCTTATCTCTTTCACCTTTGTGCCCCTGTACATTGTACATATGCAAATCTCATAAGATTCATCTTAATGAAACACTTTTAGAACTTGAGGTTTCAGTTTACTCTTTTTTTCTCTAATCTTGACCCACCCTGGCAGGTAAAATTGAGACAAGATTTCCAAAGATTGAATACCATCATGAAGAACACTGAGGAAGTTAGATGAGACTTTGGGTGAGTACCCATCCTCTGCAGTTATTCCCTCATCTGTAAAATGGGAATGATAATCACTGCCCAGCCTATTTCAAAGATTCTTGCGCAGATCAAATTTTAAAAAGTGTATTTGAAAGTACAAGTTCTGAAGTGCCATCCAGATGTAAGGGACTATCATATGGTGTGCTGTCCTCAATATTTACTGTTACTTGAGTAATACAATGGGATATGAGTAATCATTGTTCAATTAATATATGCTGAGGGGCAAAATTTTATTGTGGGAGAGGGTGTGGCAAATAGGAGGGAAATAGCATTGTAACCTCCCACCATACCAGTGGTACTCGACCCTAGCTGCACATTAGAATCATCTGGAGAGCCATTAAAATACTCTAAATCAGGGGTCCCCAACCCCCAGGCCATGGACCGGTACTGGTCCTCAGCCTGTTGGGAACCAGGCTGCACAGCAGGAGGTGAGCAGTGGGCACCATCCCTGGTGCCAAAAAGGTTGGGGACCACTGCTCTAAATGCAATGTTGTAGCCTAGATTGGATCCAGAAGCAGAAAAAAAGACATTAGCAGAAAAACTAATGAAATCCCAATAATATCTGTAGTTTAGTTAATGGTAATGTAACAATCTTAGTTTCTTAAGTTTTGATAAATGGACCGTGGTTATATGAGATCTTAACATTAGGGTAAACTGGGTGAGAGCTATATAGGAACTTCTGTACTATCTTTACAACTTTTATATAATTCTAAAATTATTCCTCAAAAATTATTTAGAGCAAAAAACAATGTAAAAAATAAATATGTCTTGATGGCACCCTAGATAGGTGAATCAGAATCCCTGGGGAGGTGCCTGGGCAACTGTGATTTTGAAATCTTCCCCAGTGGTTCTAATATATGGTGAGGGTTAAGAACCACTGTTCTACACCATGAATGCTTGAGAGACTGGGATCCTGTCGTGTTCTTCACTCTAGCCTAGTACCTAGCACAGTCCGTATATGGAGAGCTTGCATACTTGTGCCCTTGCTGAACCATTTGCAGAAATCTCCTTTATTTTGAGTCCTCTGTAATAACAGAAGGAAAACTGAAAACAAACCTCTTCCCCCCAAAAATATTGGGCTGGCCAAAAAGTTCGTTCGGGCTTTTCCATGACATCTTACCAGGGAAGATTTTCAGACATCTTCCTGCCCAGAATAGTTTCTACTCCTGCCCCCAGTCTCTCGTCATTTTCAGTTAATCCTGACCATTATCACCAGATAAATATTCCTGAAATACTAAAATTGCCATCTGTTTGTTCAAAAGTCTTACTTAGTTCCCCATTACCTAAGTAAATAATATACTTCTTAGTTAGGCGAGCAAAATTCCATACACTCCAATAATACAATAATTTTCAGCCTGCTAGCCTGCTATTCCACATGGACCCTGCATTAACTGTAGATTGCATGCAGTTCTCTTGAACATGTCTTTAATTCACCCTTCTCTGTGTCACATACAATAATGCTGCTATCCTCACCTATATTACAAATCCTCCCCATCTTTCAAGGCTCCACTCATGTGTAATTTTTTCGGGTCACTCCAGCAAAAAAGTGAGCATTCCCTCTGTTGTATCTTCTAATTCAAATGGCACTAGCATTACTATTTTCTTTTGTAATTATTTGTTTTCTATTTTATTCCCCCACGAGACTAGATTAAACTCCTAGTGGGCAAGGACTATGTGTTATAGGTCTTCTAACCCTCACAGTGTTTACCACTGATGCTGTCCACACAAACACGTGATAATGATTTAATATACAGTTTGCACAATTACAGTGTATAAAAAGTAAAAATAGAAAATCAAAATTCAAATACACAACTACATTCATCACTCCAAAATATCTTTGAAGGAGTCCCAGAATAAGAATTGTTAAAATTGTTAAATTGTTAAAAGCCATCTGAAGCCTGAATAAGATTTTGCAATTACAGTGTATAAAAAGTAAAAATAGAAAATCAAAATTCAAATACACAACTACATTCATCACTCCAAAATATCTTTGAAGGAGTCCCAGAATAAGAATTGTTAAAATTGTTAAATTGTTAAAAGCCATCTGAAGCCTGAATAAGATTTTGATGCTGGGCTTCCCTGGGGTGCAGTGGAGTTCTCTCTTTCAGATATGGTCTATATATGGGGGAAAAACCACTGTGAAAATATTAATGAATATTGTAGAGATTTCTACCATATTTTGAGAAAAATCACACATATAATGTACTAAGATGTGAATTTTGTTGGACAACTATGACGGTTGCACATTGTTAAAACAAAACAACTATAAATTTCATTTTCTGGGTGAATCTCTTGAGGAACATTTGGAATTGCTGGTATCTCTTGTTCCTCTGTTTTGGGTTTTTCCTTCATTTCTGTAAAATAAAATAAAATACAAAAATACATTTAATAAATGGTATCGGGATGATTGGCTATCCACTTGGAGAAAAAAAACTCTACCTAACACTTTGCACAAAAACAAATCTCAGATGAATTAAAGATTTAAATATTAATATACAGTAAATGTTGTAGAAACAATAGAATATTCCTTTAATCTTAAGTTTATAAAGGCCTTTCTAAGCAGACCACAGACCAGAAGGCATAAGGGAAAAGACTGACAGGTTTGAATCATTAAGAATTAAAATCGTGACAGGTTTGAATAACTAAAAACTAACATTAAAATTTTGTCATATAGAATGCCAAACTACTATAAACAAAGTTAAACCACAAACAACAACTAGAAAAATATTTACAACTTATATGTAGATAAAGATTTAATAACTATTATTTAAAGAGATTTTTTAAATCAATCAAAAAGGTAGATATCCCAAATATAAAATGGAACAAGGATTCAAACAGGCAATTCTCAAAAGAAAAAAACTGAATTCATAATAATCATAAAAATATGCCTAGCAGCATTAGTCATAAAAAAGTGGGAATTAAAACAATTAGTTTTTTTTTTAACCTAGCATAATAGGCATAGATTATTAAAACAATCATGTGCAGTGTTGTCAAGGGCATGGGCAACAGGCACTTACATAAATTCTTGGTTTCTGTGTATTGCTACAACATTTTTGGAGGCTAGTCTGACAGAATGTATCCAGACTTTAAATGCTGGTACCCTTTGGCCCAGCAATTCAACTTCTAGGGATTTGTCCAAAGGAAGTAATCAGACCAACTTAAGCTTCCAGTGCCTTAGTTTCCTTATCTATAAAATAAGGATAATATTATTCATCCACTAGGGTTTTTAACACTGAATAAAGTGATTCACATGAAATGTTCAATACAGTGTCTGGCAGATAGAAAGTGCCAAATAAATGTTATTTAAATAAATGTTACTTCCAATGATGTTCATTGAACATTGCTGTAATGGTAAAACTTCGCAGTAATCTAAGTGTTCATCATTATAGGGATTGGTTGAATAAATTATTGTACGTATAATACTGTACAATTGTTACAAAAGATGTCATTAAGATGGCCACAATATATATTGTATGTGAAAAAAAAGCAGGTTATAAAATGGAATGTATTGTATTGATACCATCTCTTGACCTTGGGGATCAGAGATAGGAGATGGTATTATAGGGGACTTTTACTCTACAGTCGCTTATATATTGCTTTAATTTATTATAATAAACATTATAATTTATTATTATGACAATTTTATAATCAGCAAAAAGGTAGATATTTCCACTTGTTTGGTAAGACAAAGCCCAAAACAAAATAAGCATTAATTAATTGCCCATCTTAACCTTGCTGGGTTTAAAATGAAACTCTTAGAATCGGGCACTGTGTTGATTAGAGCTGCTTCTCCATCAGGGGACCCCCGTCAGTACAAGTAGTGCTTCATATGTCTGCTTTTACTGTAATTTTTTAAAAGGTATTTCCTCAAAACCTGTATTACTTGGAATACAATAACCCCAGGTTTTTGTTGCACTCATATTTTAGGAGAAAGAGAAAATAAGCTACCAAAAGGATTTCTTTAGAACACAATTCCCTGGGGATAGCTATGGTCTGCTAGACAGACCATTTCTTATACTGTGTACAATAGTGCACAAAGAGAATCAAGGCTCTCAGTTATGTCCCCGAGACAAGTCAAACTGAAGAAAGGTCACATTATTTCTTAAATGCTATGCAGAGGAGAAAGCTTTTCAGGAGCAAATATTTAAATAGAAAGGGTTTGGGTTAAGCCTGGTAAGTCCTACAAGAATGAGTTCCCTATTACCAGGATCATATTTTATGTCTTTGTATCTCCCTCGGTAGCTTGTACCATGAATTTACTTACCTTTAGTTTGCCAGGAAATTTTAATTTTCTAGAAAAAACTTTATTCACCAAGTTTCCTTGTTAATCTAAATGTAATTGTCCTTTAAAATATTTTGCACATAATTCACTCTATATGTGGTTCATTTTTCTTCACTGGCTAAAGCTTCCCAAAATGGATAGTATGTACAAGTACCCACTATACACACTTATAGTTTCAATGATTTTCTTTTAATTATATGGTAATATACCAACAGATATTGGTTGAATGAAAACCATTTTTCACTTGAAACTAGCCAAAGACATTGATGATACCCATTGAGATAACTGGGATAACCCAGGATTGTCAAAGAAGGCAATAAATCACCGCTCCAAGGGAGAGAAACCTATCTGGTACTCTGATTATGAACAGGGAACACAAATAAGTGGCATGTCACTAGCTTGACCCCAATAAAAAAAACCTACCTCAAGGAAAAATATAAACATCCTTAGCATCTTCCTGGTGTGCTTTAGGATCCTGGTCTAGGGGCCCAACTCTTTCTTGGTACAGTTCTGGAAAGCATTCTTCAGGCACATCCTTATCTTTATATGTCTTAGTAGAGAGGTCTTCAGGCCCAGGTATTTCTTGGTATATTTCAGGTGCATAGTCTTCAGGCCCAGCTGTTTCTTGGTATATTTCAGGTGAATATTCTTCAGACCCAGGTGTTTCTTGGTATATTTCAGGTGAATATTTTTCAGGAGCAGGTGTTTCTTGGATTGTTTTATGAGAGGGGGCTTTAGACACAGCAATTTCTTTATATGTTTTATGAGAAAAGTGTTCAGGTTCAACTGTTTCTTGGTATGTTTTTATAGAAAGCTCTTTAGGCACAGCTATTTCTTGTGCTTTAGGAACAAAATTTTCAGTCTCAGCTATTCCTTGACCTAGTTCAGAATTGTGTTCCTCAGGTTCAGCTCTTTTTTGGTATGTTTCAAGAGTGTAGCCTTTAGGCACATCTGGTTTGGGGTATGCTTCAAGAGGGCATCCTTCCAGGTCAGCTATATCTTCAGATGATTTAGAAGAAAGGGCTTTGGCTGCAGTGGTTTCTTGGCACATTTTAAGAGAGAGGTCTTCAGGTTGAGCCATATCATGGCGCACTTGGGAAGGATGGTCTTGAAATACAGCTATTTCTTGGTACATTTTAGGAGAGAGGTCTCCAGATTCAGCCATATCTTGGAGTATTTCAGAAGGGTGGTTTTGTACTGCTGTTTCTTGGTATTCAGAAGAATTTTCCTGATGGATAATGCTTTCCTGACCAATTTTAGAAAAATGTTTCTTGGGCACAACTCTTTGCATGGAGGCTACCGGAAGGAGAGCTTTGGTCACACTCCTGGGTGGTTCAGTTTCTTTCTCTGTAGGTGCTGGTGCTTTCTCCATCATTTCCTTTTCTAATTGTGACAGAGGCTCCACCTTCATTTCTGTATTTTGTTGTCTCTTTCTGCCTCTTTCACTTCTTTTTCCTGTTCTCTGCCGCTTGTGTTTTTTATCTCTATAGAGAAATCAAAATTAGTGTCAGCAACAGGGCTCCAGAATTCAAATAAACATTTGGTAATAACAGTCCCAGGACTCCCACTGCCTTGTTGCAAGACCTTGAACAAGTCACTTAATCTCTCTCTGGGCCTCAGTCTCCTTGTTTGTAAAATGAAGAAGCAGTTCTAGATGCTCTCAATTGTCGGGAGAGGAAATGACCCTCAGGACTTTTTGTCTTTGATGCCTTGCTCAACAGGAACCTTCTTGGTGAGTGTGGCGTGTGTGTGTGTGTGTGTGTGTGCGCACACGCATTTGAGAGCATATACTTAAAGTTTGGTTATGGAAAATGTATTGTTGATGTTATACATTAATAGACTGGCATTCTTGTTTATATGCTAGTCTCTCTGGATTTAGTCTATGTGAGTTCATTTCTCTATACCCTGGGTAAACTGATATGATTGTGTTCCTAGATCTGCAGTGCAGGCCTGCTCCTCATCTGCACAGCCTGCAGGTGAATGATGTATGTGGCTTGCTTATCTAATACAGTGTCTTGTGTAAAGCAGGCTAAGTAGCCAAAGCGGGTCCAAAGCTCCAAAGCTGCAAAAACACTTCCTTGAGGTAAAGCAGCTTGGTGGAAAGGCATGAGTGGTCATATTATACCTACTCTGAACCAATAGCTAAAGATCTAGAAGATGAAAGGATACGCATGGGTATTGCAACCAATGACAAATTGTTAGGTACTGCAAATATAGCCAAATACAGATGGCTAATATAGATGGACTTGGGGGAAGAAAAAGATACTATCAAAAAGCATTTCATCATTTTTCTAAACCTGTTGAAATTCTGTTTCATGCTACGTGCCCTATGGAGCCTTCTCCAACAGACCACAGGGCTGAAATGCTCTCCCTGCTTACCACTCCTACAGGATTTATTATGAGGATTATGCTTAAGGTAAAGAACATAGGCTGCCTCATCCTGTAGTTATTTCTGGAGAAACCCTATTTCTTTTAGTAAACAAGACAGTCTTTGGAGATAAAACCAGTGTTTTTTACACCTATTCAGTGCTTGCAGTTCCTTGTACACTTAAAAAATGTATACCCTATTCTACTTTTGCATGTTTGAAAATATCCATAATTAAATTTTTTTAAAGGTTGTCTCATCAAAACCAGTTTGAAGTCAATATAAAAAAGGTACATATTGTAATAGTACAGTTTAAAATAAATATTAAAAATAATATAGAAGGTAAAAATGATATGGTACCTCAGCATTTGGAAGTTTAATTCCAAGTAACCAAGGTAACAAGATAAATTATAAAGTCCTTATTGTCAGATTTAAAAAGATGATGTATGTGAATTCTTCAGGCAACATTATTATCCTAGAAGTTAAATCCTAAATAATTTGTTATGTAGATCTCTATATGAGGGAAATCTGAGTAATGTTCCATGTTCTTCCTGGTAGTTTCTCAAAAGATACAAATATATCTGTGTGGCCTAAAATTTAATCTGTACTCTGTCACTTATCAGCTATGTGATCATGGGCAAGTCACTTAAACTCTCTATGCCTCGATTTCTTCACAGGTAAAATAGAGTAAATAGTATCTGCCCAACCTCATGTGGTTGTCCTAAGAATTGCATGTAATAACTTATATGAATGAATCATCCAGATAGAAACTAGTACTCATATAAATATCAGAAATATACATATATATATATGGTGCTTCCTATGTGCCAGGCACTGTTTTAAGTAATTTACTTATTCTGTTACCTCATATAGTCTTCACATCAACTTATGTGGTAGATACTATTATTATCTCCATTTTGCAGATGAAAAAACTAAAGCACAGAGAGGTTGAATAACTTGTCCAAGGTGAAATGGCTACGTAGTAAGGGAGCCACTCTTCAAATCTAGTCATTTAGCCGTCTGGCTTTCGCAGCCAGGCTCTTAACTATTACACTCTACCGCTTCTCTCTGGAACTACGGTTTCACTGTGTAGAATGTTGTAGTGAGGACAGCCCTCAGTAGTATAGATATGTGTCACAACAGCAAGGCCGGCCAGCTGCCAAGAGGCTCACCAAGGTTCCACCTACTCCAGTGACTTCCTCAGCCTTGCCACCCCCCAAACCAGTGAGCACAGAAGCCCAATTCTATGAGCATACTGAAACCAGCTCCATTTCTAGGGTCAGAGCTCATCAACCAGCTCAAAGAGATTGATAGGTAAACCTAAAGACCAATTTTTAAATGAACAGTGAGAAATGCAAAGACTTGGGAAGGCAAGGAATGATCAGAAGGTTGCTTGGTGAGTAAGGAATTAGGGGAACTAATTGTGTGTTCTTCAACAGAGTCACCTGCCAGAGGACTTGAGTACAGAAGTTTCTGCTATAACATACATGTATTCCTGAAAAACCTCACTTTCTGCAAAATCGTGCACTAAAAGTGACAGTGCTTATGGGGAAAAAATAAAATTGGGGCAAATGATTCAAATTCTATGCAACTTTTTAACAGTAGCATAAACAGTAATTGGGACAAGGGAGAGATAACTTGGATAGTCCAGACAGGCAGCTTACTATGGCTGGAGGCTGCCTCGGGGATGGTAAAAATGCACAAAAGCAACAGTGTAAACTCAGGCTTTCAGTGCTGAGATCATGCAAATAAGGGTGCTCTGAGCCAGCAGGGCTGCCACTAAGTTGAGCACAGGAGGAAGTGCAACCTGCTATATGTGGAGATCTTTGCAAGGCTACCAATGTCCTTCTGTGGGGAAGAAGCCCCGGATGAAGGCTGAAAAGGACCCTGTCTATACAGCAGCCAAGCTGAAGGCTTTTTCCTTTCCTGTGAAGGTTTTAACTCTATTCCCACTATTCTGGCTTCTTTTGAGTAGGAAAAATTATGATCTAACACAACTTCCACATTATACTGACATCATTCTCCTATTTACCAATCATATGTGAGCTAACTGGTGCTGTAGAAACACGTGTTGTTGCAGAACAGAAGATACTCAGTCCACAGTGGGAATAGGTACTTAAAACATCTGCACTGTATGTTTTTTTAAAAAAATGATGCCTAGAAAAATGTATACTTATGTTTCTTTGGGTTTTTTTTCACAAAGCAGAGCCCGGCCCTGTGAAAAATGTATACCTATGTTATTTTTGCCATTGAAGGAAACATTTTTACAGTAAAGAAGAAATACACATCTAAATCTTAATCAAAAAAATTTTAAAGAAGAGTGCTTAGATCAGTGGTTCTCAACTGGGAGCATTTTACCTCCTCTCCCCTGACCCCAGGAGACATTTAACAAGGTCTGGAGACATTTTTGGTTGTCACGATGGGGAGAGGAGAGTCCTGTGGGTTTCTAGAGGCCAGTGGTGCTGCGAAACGTCTTCAATGCACAGGACAGCCTCCCACACAAAGTAGTCGCCTATCCACAGCATTAATAACACCAGTGTTGAGAAACCCTGGCTCAGATGGATGCTGTACTTTGGCTCCTTGGGCTCCCCTTTTCTATTTCCAAGCAGGCAATACCTCTGTTTTCACAGTTATATTCTAAATGGCGCAGTTAGATGCTGCCTAATTTATAGTCATGTTCATGTACTCCCTTCCTGAGATTACATACAGCTGACTTTGGACACTTAGGAACTCTCAAACTCTTCCATCACTCATTTACAGACAGTGCTTTGGTTTACTCCATGGAGAGTTAACTACACTCATTCAAGAAGAATTTCACTAATAGAAAGCTTGGAGAACAAGCTTGGGGGTCTTCTCAATGGTGTCTCCCACTCCCAACAGATACTTCTATGGTTATATTACTAGGGTGGTTGAACACCAGTCCTCTCTAGAATATACATAATTTGATCACCTGGTACTGTGATTAAAAGAGACCATAAATAAGATTCTGTTCCCATCACTTTACTAGACGGGTGACTTTAGGCAAGAGATTTAACCTTCAGAGACTTGGTTTCTTTTTTTTTGTAAAATGAGGATAACAGCTCCCAATTTATGGGATTTTTGGAAAGATGAAATATAGTGTGTAAAAGTGCTCAGCACCACTTGACCAGTAGCATATGCTAGATAAATATCAGTTCCTTTCCCCTTGCAGCAAAACCATACCCAAATTGCCATTGTGAAGTTTGCTTTTCTTGTGCTTCAGCTTTTCTTTTTCTGAGTTGCTCTCTGTTTCTTAAACTCCAAGTTCCAATGACTTCTGTAGGATCAAAATGAAAGTTATGGGAGATAGTGATGAATTGTGGCATTAACAGGAAAAGAGTCCTATAGAAAAATGGTAGAATCCCTTTACGGGGTGTGTGAGTTCTTCTCCTAGCCTTTTGAGGACAAGAACTATATCTTATTTATTCTTGTGCCTCTGAAGAATGCCTGGGAGCAAACATTCGGTCGACATTTTTTAAATGAAAAGGTCAGTATTTGTACATAAGTGTGCTACCAACCTATTAATTTTTTCAAAATAGTGTACATATTGTACAAACATAAAAGAAAAAAATCAGCCATGTTCTGCCATCCTATAACCTGTTTTCATTTTATTCCTCGTATTCATCTAGTCCCTATATTAAACTAAGTTGTAATGATGGCATAGCACAGTTTTATCATTTATTAACCTGATACATCAAAAATATATTCCATCATCTCGTCCTCATAATTATAATTTTAGCAGCTGCATGATACTTAATCGAATTGATGTATTCTCATTTATCCACTCATTCCACTCGTATTGAACATTTAGGTTGTTGCCAGTTATTTTTTTTTTGCCATTGTAAATCAAATTATAATAAATATTTCATGTACACAACAGCTTTTTTTCTTTTGTATATTTTTACTTTGGATGACGTTTCTCCAAGTTCTTTGGAATATTAAAGTTATTATCAAGAAAGGCTCTGTTGCCATCCAAGTTTGTGAAAAGTTAACGTTGGGCCTTTGATGTAGAACTTCTTAGAGACTATAGAATGATTTCAAATTTGCACCTGGACCCCCAAAAGAGAAAATGCCCCTTGGACCATGGCACCTTTTGCTTTTAGGACAGAAGTCCTTAATGGTGAACTTGGATGGGGGAAAATTATACTTTTATTTTTACCAATCTTTAATTTAAATGACCATTTCCTTCAATTATGAATGTAGGTAACAGACCACGGTAGTTTTAGCAGTGTGTGATTTTGTCACAAAAAGAAATTACAGATTTTCTTCATATAACATGACAGTTATTGCAGATACCTTAAAATATCACTCATTTGAGATGATATATTTGATTTGATACAGTGGTAATTAGATCCACCACTGGATCTTGTTTTTTTTTTTTTTTTTTTTTTTGTGGTACGCGGGCCTCTCACTGTTGTGGCCTCTCCCGTTGCAGAGCAACAGGCTCCGGACGCACAGGCTCAGCGGCCATGGCTCCCGGGCCCAGCCGCTCCGCGGCATGTGGGATCTTCCCGGACCGGGGCACGAACCCATGTCCCCTGCATCGGCAGGTGGACCCTCAACCACTGCGCCACCAGGGAAGCCCTGGATCTTGTTATTTAATGCATCTATAAATAAGCACATATATTATGATATCATGGATTTTTATTTTGATAACTTATCTTAATATAATTGCTTCCTTTATAATCCTATGTATTTAATTTTATGTATTTAGACTTCTTAGTCTAAGAAGGGGTCTAGAGGTTCATCAGAATGCCAAAGGGATCCATGGCATCAAAAAGATTTAAATCACTGCCTCAAGGCCTAGGGTTCTGCAAAAGCAGCAGAAATGCTGCTTTAGGATAGATCCAAAGACTAAGATTAGTGAGTCAAAAGAATAAACACTATTATAGTTCTTATTATAGTTCTTATTATCTGGCTACCTAGTGCCAGATCCCTTTCCAAAAGTTTCACTATATTTACGCTACCAAAGAAGTATATGGTTGTATTTGTTTTACCACAACTATCTGGTATTGGGTATTTTCGTTACCTTTCATTTATATATATTATTAATAATTTATTTACTATTTCCTTGTGTTTCTCTGGTTATTAGAATCTTAGTGCTAGAAGGCACCTCAGAAAGTTATATAGCCCCAATTCTTCCATTCTAATATATGAACGTATCCAATTATGCCCCTTTTTTGCCAGAGCCATAAAAAGAGGAAAATAATCATAGTCCAATCCTTCCCAACAGCCACTACCTCTTAAGGTTTCTTTCATTACCTGGAACATGGTTCTCTTCTTGATGAGGATCAGGTATCTGATGGAGCATCAAGTGAGACTGGTCCTTTCCCAAATCCATCTTGCTGCAATACCTTCCTGCTGTTCGGTCGGACTTCCACAAGAACCCTTTTTTAAAATGTCAAAAGTAACTAACAGTTAAACACACACACATACCCGAGTTCACTTGTCACTTGACTTCCTGCCTAAAAGTTTTATCTAGCTGGACCACAGCTGCTGGCTACTTCTACTTTCTTTATCATACTGCACAGGTGTGAGCCAGGGGCACAGCTGGTGCTATGTCCTCCTCCACCACAGTGGCTAGTTATACAGGCAGCCCTGCAGCCACAGGCTGGTATGTCACAGCCTCTGGTATGGCAGTCATCTGGGTCTGCTGAGAAGACCCAAATGTTCCTTTTTACATACAGAGGTGGCATAGTATAGGAAGAACACCAAGTCTAGCACCTAACCAGCTCGATGTCCTTGAACAAATCACTTCCCCTTTTCGTGACTATCCTTCCTCATTTGCAAAGTGGGTGAATAATTCCTGACTTGCCCACCTCACACAGTTCTTGTGAAAGTGAATATTATGAATGTGAAAATTATGAAGATGTGAAATTAATCTTATATTGTTTTCCTGCATGTGGCATTTTTTCATCTTAGCCTGATGCAAAGCAATGGAAGGTCTTACTGTTAGAAAATAGACATAAAGAACTAAATTAGGAATTCAAAGCAAATTTGAACCCTCTTCTGCTCACCTGATCATTCACAAGTGACTCAAGATAACTAGTGAAATCCACAAATCCACTGTGACTCATCCAGGGAAGGTCAAAAAGCATTTCTTTTTTTTTCTTTTTTTTTTTTTTTGTGGTACGCGGGCCTCTCACTGTTGCAGCCTCTCCTGTTGCAGAGCAACAGGCTCCGGACGCGCAGGCTCAGCGGCCATGGCTCACGGGCCCAGCCGCTCCGCGGCATGTGGGATCCTCCCGCACTGGGGTAAGAACCCGTGTCCCTTGCATCGGCAGGCGCCACTGCGCCTCAACCACTGCGCCACCAGGGAAGCCCCAAAAAGCATTTCTCAATGAAAATATCAGCACATTATGTCACAGAAATTAAGTTGAAAGCAAAGGAATCATCCATCTTCAGTCACCCGATTTGTGAAGGCAAAGAGGCACAGAGAATCAGGATTGTTCACCAAGGAAAGGAACACTGACCACCTCCTAGTACAGGCAAACAGTCTGTGAGATGCAGGGTTAACACTGTATCTGGAGTCAGATACTGAAGTGAAGAGAGTTTGTATTCCAGTGTTGCCACATTCCCTAATTCAGTCACCTTAGGCCACTTAGTCTTGGAGCCAGTTTACCTACCTACAACATGGTATAATATTGGTATGTACCTAATGAGGTTATTGGGATGACTGAATCAAACAGTGCATTTCATATGTGCCTGTCATATTGAATACATGGTGCCTAGCATATTCAACCTGCTTAGTAAATGTTAGTTTCTGTTATTAGTAATAAAAATATAGTGACAAGATTTTGGTAAGTCAAGTCACAGTTTAAATGCACTAAAGAACTCAGAGAAAACCTGAAGGGAATCCTTTATAAAAAGAAAACCTTTATAATGTGAATAGATGCCCTCTACTTCCATAGACACTTAAGGCATTAGCATCTCCTCCTAAACCATCTAGTCCCTTCCCCTATTTTATACACAGAGAAATTGAGAACCAAGGAGGGGAAAGATATACCTGCCCCAAATTTTCTTACCTACTGGTGGCACCACATCTTACCGATTATAAGATGGGTCATCTTGGGCTTCCCTGGTGGTGCAGTGGTTGGGAGTCCGCCTGCCGATGCAGGGGACACGGGTTCGCGCCCGGTCTGGGAGGATCCCGCATGCCGCGGAGCGGCTGGGCCCGTGAGCCATGGCCGCTGAGCCTGAGCCATGGCCGCTGAGCCTGCGCGTCCGGAGCCTGTGCTCCGCAGCGGGAGAGGCCACAACAGTGAGAGGCCCGCATACCGCAAAAAAAAAAA